ATCAATTCTAATAAAGATATTACTGCAACGGCAGCACTTCCAAGCTAGGGCCCCCAAGAAACAACAACAATGATGAAAAATTCAACTACATTTGACTTCTTGACCATGTCCGTTAGTGACTGAAATAAAACAAAAAGAAATACGTCAAAACAATACACTCACAAAGGGAAGGTCACGTCGTAATACTCGTATTCGTTTGTTCCTTCGGAAGACCGACGTTTGCATTGCTTCCGCGCTCTATCCTTCCGACATTGTTCATACTTTGACTCGCACTCCCAAGCTCGGCAAATTTCCTGCACACTGCCAGCTAATACTGTCTGTCTTCCTCTGGGATCGCGGTCCTGAGAAGATCGGGATGCTGATTTTTTTTAGAAACGGAAGCTTACAAAAGCAAGAGGTAGAAACAGAAACTTAAGAGAAAGGGTACAACATGAACCAAGCCCTTGAAAAAAAAACATATCGCAAGAGCACCCTACCTGGTTGCTTCCAAGTATCCGCTGCACAACATATTTAGTCATTGTGTAGTTTTCATCGTATTCACAAGCCTAAAAGACAGATGTAACTTTCCTTCCAACATGCCTGAAGAGCCAATCAATCGCTAAATTAAAGAGCACATCAAAGTACTTGACAAGCCAGTGGTCAGCTGGAGACACAGCTTTTTGGGACTGTGCGAAACAGTGTCTACATTTGCACGTGAAAGACGAAAGGGAAGGGAGGAGATGAGTTTCTTGGGTCTCGTAATGCAGCGTTAGTAGTGGAAGAATTGTAAAGTAGACTCGCTCGAAAACTTTATCATCATGTGTGTGTTGTTAAGGAGATGTTAAAATAAAAGGGGAGTTATCATAATAAGTGATTTTACATATACATATGTGACCTTCTCATACGAACACGATTCGCGAAAAGATCAGCTGTGAAGGAAACTGAGCCAACGTTTCCTTCCCACTTCTCCTCCCTCTCCGTTCCACGCCTGAGCCCCAAAGTTAGAAACAAGCAACGTTCCGCTTCCTTTTCTCGAATGTCAACAGAAAATAGAGCTTTCCAGGGAAGGATGTCAGGTTGCAAAAGGCCAATGAAACGAGATGTGTGAAGACATACGGTTTTGAACGCTGATCTCGAACTGTATTCCAAACCTGCGAAACGACTCGAAACAAAATTCAATTGATCTTGTAAGTACATCGACTCACTGTGTCCTTTGCGTTGCGATGGTGCAGCGGTGAGATGTTAGAAGTTACCCAAAATTTGCCAACTGATGCGTGTTCTTATTTCGCTTTCACATCAAGTTTTGCAAAATACTTTTACGACTCCCATTGAATTTTCAACCCTTGCTCGTCATAGAGCACGTCATTAACACTAACCGTCTCTTGAGAAAAATGTTGTGTTGCCCTTTTATGACTATGGAGACTTTTCACTCAAAATAGATTTCTTCAGTGTGAGGCTGCTTCTTCGCCTGCTGCTCTCCATTTCACGTTTTACTCGAACCGCTGCAGAGCTCTTTGATCCAGCGGCTGATTATACTCTTTTTTGTTTGGTGGAACGACCTCTGCTTTCAAAAAAAAAAACGCAAGCTTTTCCGAACATAACGAGCAGCAAAGGGGACAAAAAGCCAACGTTCTAGGGTTAAGACAAGCAGGCGTAATCGTTGCCAGCGACCTACTCCCAGTGTTCAGGTAGCATCTGGACACCGAGCAACTTGAACAAGTGCCAATAAAATGCTGTTAAGAACTGTTTGAAAAATCTCGTCGTTGGTTGAAACAGTTTCGTTCGCACTGTTGTAAACCGGGCAAACAAAGTAGCTGTATTCAAGCTCCGATCCCTTATCCTCGAAAACCTTCCCCACAATTCCACTTACGAGGGACTCAGCATGGTCATGAGCGGTGGCGGCTCATCTTGTGTGCTATCACTCAGTAATCAGTATGATTCTCAAAAACTGATGAGCCCTCTAGCAAAGACGGCCTCGTTTGTAGCATATAGTCGCAAAAATCACGCCCTACAATTCTACAGCTTAGAAAGCCTCTCAACTGCATCCATCCAAACCCGGAACTTGTGACTCAAAAACTTAGGTAAAAAATTCCATTTTGAACAATGTCAGAAGTGGCGAGTTATTTCAATGTTTCGATTTTTACTTCTGCTTCTGTAAAAAATGAAGTACTTATACAGAGTTAGAGATACTGTGATGCATTTGAAGATTGACTTAATCTACCCGCTAGTCCGTGAGGAGAAAATGACGATTGACGCTGAAAGAAGGGTGGTCAAATTCTCATACGTGAAGGGGTTTGCACGGAGATGGGCGGGCTATGATCAACTACCAATAATTCTGTTCAAATGAAATACTTCGGGCGGAATACCCTCAAAGCGATTCAGCATTCAAATCTAAAGAGGACTATCTTATTCTGATAATCCAACATTCCGCTGATTGACATCGGGGATGAGTGGACATACATACAACGCACGCGTTAGCGTGCATAGTCCAATTCGTTTAGAGATATGCAGCTTTTCAATAACCAATAACTTATTCAAGATTTGAGCCTATAAAAAAGGAAGGAGGAATGGAGAACAAAATATAATAGTACCGTAAACTGTTGCGAAAATCACCTTTCCCCTACCGCATCACTAAAACTTATTTAGATTTGTAAATGTAATTTGTTCCAGAAAACTTTCTTCTGATAAAAAGACGCAAGGAAAGTTGCTCGACCTTGAGAGGGGAACATCCGCGAACATACGCTTTTTGCAGATCAGAACGATGAATGTATCTGTTCTTAAATCACAAATTTTGTACTTAAGGATGACATTTAAATGAAGCTTGAAATAATAGGCAATAGGGAAGTTCGTTTAGCATTTGATACAAGTCGTTCTCTCCTGCCTCGCTATACTGATGCTGAGTGACACCGACCAGAAAGGTCTCTGAAGAAGAAACTTCATTAGTGGCTATTACATGAATGGGATGGTCAATAAGTTCCGATTTCTTCAAGTCACAGTACACGAGATAAATGCTCTCTGAGATCATCCCTTGATATGAACCTGAGACCCTCAATAAATGGACAAGGGGTTATTTGTCAAAAAACGGCTCAGTTAGGGCGTAAAAAGGGCCCCAAAACCTTCCTAGCCGACTGTAACTGTAGAAGTTGCCCCATTTGTCTCAGATGCACAGGTTTCACGCAGGCAGCTCACAGCAATGGCATGCTCCTTTACGCAGCTCGTCCAAATACCCATTCCATGCAAACTTTTTCGTCACCCTCCCGTCCAACCCTAATTTTACTACTTTTTGAAGCCTTATATTCCCTAAGCAAGCTGAATCTAGCGATTTCATTGTCTTTTTTTACACTGTTCTAGACTCTCACTCCCACTAATAGTCTAAAAATAGACACCCAACTATTCTTGTAAACTATGCCTTTGGAAGAGCCATAGTTTTACAGAAGTGCCCTGCACGGAGCTGGCACTCCGATCTTACTTAGAGAGACGTTTCTTTCAGCATCGGCACTGCTTACTGTAGGAGATTGCTCCGGAACGAACAATCGAAGCAAATCAGAGTACCAAGGAAGTGTGTAAAAGTTTGTGCGAGTTGAAGTTGTCGCGAGTTTGTAAAGTTTTCTCACTATTGAATTATGTCGCAGAGAATGAAAGGATAAGTCTTTTGGCGTTAATCAATCCCATCTAAGGGATGCACCCCGCATTCGACTTCCATTCAAAATCGTAGTGGCGTAATGAGTGCGTATGTGGCCCATACAATGACTTGCGGTGGCCAGCCGTTGTACAAGTCAGTGCTTTTATCTTCTCAGACGGGTCTGGTACCAATTAACGAAACCCGGAGGGATGGAAGACTCGGTTGGCATAGGCGTATATTGATGGGGGACTCGAACAACCCGTGATCATGCGTAAGTGAAAGGCGCCACTTGTCAGTACACCACCTCCGCCCTGAGCCTAGAACTAATACTGCTGTACCAATGAACCGAAAGCGTTCTAATTTGCTAAAGAAAAGGTGGCAGGATGGTAATATCGGTGGTAGACGGCAGTATTGAACTTCACCTACATTGGGCCTGACGTGCATGAAAAACTTCCCATTAGACTGGGGCACCCAAATTTGAAAAATATATTTTGAAAAATATACGGATGGCAGCATCGAGACAATGACGGTAGCAGTAGCATTAGACTAGGCTGGACGAGCAGAGAGGAGGAGACTAAGGGGTGGGGGCAGGAAAAGATGCGCGAAAAGCCTAATCTGAAGGTAAATACGTCGTGAAGTTGGAATTAGTAGAAAATGAATTGTGTTACCTACACATGCATGACTTGAGGAATAATTCGCTCATGGCGAGCGGCTCGCTTAGAAGATTCAGATGTGCGTGAATTTTTTGGCCGGAAACTCATAACTCCTGTTCTCTTGAGCAGGGCGTTAGAAGTTTGGAAGGGATCCAGTCGGCACACCAACTCAACTATAAAAGGAGAGCGATAAAGGAACTAAAGTA